CCCTGCAAGGAGATGTGGGCTGAGATGGGGCCCAATGCAGTAGGGCCAAGTTGCTGCCCTAGCATAGAGGGAGACAGGTAAATAAAGACCTTCACCTGTCTCTCTTGTGGTCTTCTGGCTTCTTAATGCAGCCTCTAAATCCAACCTGAAGCCAGAGATCAAGAGAGCCTGGTTTGTGCCTTTCCTAGAGACTCTCTTCGGGTACAAAATAGAATGAAGAATGGGCAGATCTGTGGGGACAAATGGAGAATATCCAGCATAGCTACTAACAGAAAATGAAAGAATATCATCTACTTTTGGATTAAGTGCGTGGGCCTTATGGAACTTGAATCTTCCTGATTCCCATATCTAACAAGAGGCAGCACCTTTCTTCTAGAGATAAAGAGAGAAATTGAAGTCAGTTTTGACTCTTCCTTCTTCTTTATTTGCTGTTCAAGCCATGACCAATTTCTTTACGTATTTCTCAAAAGTGTCTCTCTACTAATCCATCTCTAATGCAAATCTATGCCATTTCTACTGCCCACGCCTTTGTGTAAGTCTTGGCTTCAACAGCTTATGTCAAATTGATTGCTTTATGATAACACAGTGGGAAGAGTCTGGTGTTCTTAAATCCCCATCTGCTTTGCTCAGGAACTTGCACTGGCTCTCCGTTGTCGTGGATATCGAATGCAACATCTCCTGCCTGGGCTTGGATTTCCTACAGCACATCCTCAACATGTGTAACCAACAATCTTTACTTCCTAATTATTCCTGCACATGGATCTTTTGCTTATTCTAATGTGCTCTGCACATATGGCTCTAATTTCTTCTTTTGTTGATGTTATTTCCTGCACTTTGAAAGAGTTCCCCTAGCTCACTAAATCTTAAAACCCTATCCTCCTTTAAAACCCATTTCCTTTATATTATCTTTCTGAACTAATCAGCCTGCCCTGACGATACTCTCTGCTTAAACTTTTATTATATTTGCTTGTTTTTCTACATACTTTGGTACTTATTTGTTTTATAGTCATGGACTGTGTTATTCTTGTGTGGAGAGTAAGAGTTTATTTCTTTCACATACCTCGCATCACTTGAGATAATTATAGAAATTATATCTGACATATGGTAGTCTGTCAATAAATTACTTTTGAGTTAGATTGCGCACTCGAATTATACTTATTAGTCAGTTGCTTGTTTGGTTAGCTAATTTAGAGCAACTCTGGAAGAATTAGCCAAATCCACACAAACAGTGTGTAACTTTTGAGGACTAATTCCTTTCTTAGGTATTTACCCTAAAGGAATAAGTGAAGAAGAAGCTCAAAGACTTAGCTTCATGAATGCTCATTAAAACATTCTTTATAGTAACACTTATAAAAAACCATAAACACTTTACAGCAATAGAAGCAACAGAATGTGAAAGTATGTATATCCAAGCAAGCATATACAATTCAACTCTTAAAGATGATATAGATTATAACATTGGCACAATAAAAATATACGGTTTTTAAGTTTTGAGGCAGATAATGCCTTTTTATTTTGATTACTGTTTTTATAAAAATTATACATTTATACACATGTATACAAAAATACATAAAAATATGAAAAAATGTATATTGTGTTCATATTGGTTAACTGTGGTGGGTAAATTAGAGACTTGCTTGTTTATCTGCATTTTCTGATAATATAAACATTGCTAAATACATTGAAAATAACTATCACAATTAAGACATTTCCCTTAGTTATGGACTTTACATGATTTCTGTGCAAGGTGATCAGGTTAGTTGTTTCAATTAAATGACTTTATTTTACTTACGGAATGACTTAGTGAATTTACCACAGCAAATGTTTGTCAGTTACAGTATATCCTGCCTTAAACACTGTCTACTGATATTTAAACTATTATTTTTATATCACAATTTGTTTGGAAAACTGTCAAAATATAAAACTTGTATAATGTCAGATTCGAAAATAAAAATAAAAACTTCAGCCGGAAGTAACTATTTCATATATAAAAAGACAACAAAGGATAGCATTACTTGGAGTCTTTTAATTACCAAGTGAGGTAGTTTGGGATTTCATGGAGGTTGTGTTATGCAGGAGAGTGGTTTGAATTCAACTTATATGACACATGTACAATTTAAGATCGTAAGTAGAGCCTGAAGGCATAGAACTAAACAGGAGTCATACATACACATACAAACATACCGTATGCATAAAATGAATACTACGTATCTCTGGAAGGTTAGATGCTATGTTCTGAAACTAAGATAAATCACAAATTGAATTACTTCACAAAATCCTTTCAGTAAATATAATCAACTCTTAACTGAAACAATTGATTTTTCCACCTTATATAGAAACCATATGGATTAAACCTGTGTAATAAAAGGTCTTAATTGTAATAAATATCTTTAAAGTAGTTAGTAATTTTTTTTAAACTATTAATAAGATACCAGTAAACAAAATGGGATCCATGGACCAGAGGAATCTCGATATGGTGCAAAGCAGAACAGTGTACTTCTTGGAGGAGGAAAACAAAGGCAGAACCTCCATCACCTCCCTTGGTAAGGTGTGGAGGGAGAGGGATACTCCTAACCTACAATCCCTTAGTTTTTAGTTAGGGCGTGCTGTTTTATCTCTCTAAGCCCAGAAGGAGGGAAACAGTTGATGACTATAATTTCCTGTGCCAAACCAGGTAGGATGATAGCTGAATAAAATACCTCTTCAGCTGAATATTGCTTCCAGCTGTGAAAAATGGACAATGTAATATAGTGGACAGCATGAGTCCAGCATGCTTGGTTTTGAATACTGGCTTTCCTGCGCTAATAGTACTCATTCACTCAACAATATACTTCTTTAGCGTTAATTATATGCCAGGCAAAATGCAGGGCATTGGTGGTAAATAAGGGATCAAAACATGTATTATCTTTGCTTCCTTACAGATTGATGAGGGAGATAGACATTAATCAAATAATCTTACAAAGAACATAATTATATACTGTGGTAAACCAGTGCAGGAAAAACTCAGGAATTTATGCAAGTATATTGTAGATATAGTCAGTCCTAAGAAAGGTATAAAATAATCAGGGAAAAAACTGTTGTCCTGAGGTAGATGGCAGCATGATGCCATTTATAGAAGGGCAATTAGCTTGATATAGAAAGCCATAGAAAACAACAAAAGTGTAAGAGCAGAAAAAATAGCTGAGAGATGTGAGTGGCGCCAGACCACCCAGACCTTTATCCTAGAACAAATAAAAACCATTGAAGATTTTTAAACAGGAAAGTTGCAAGATCAAATTTCTGTTTCTGAAGATCACTGGCTGATATAAGGAAAAAAAATGGATTGAAATATGTTAGCTTTCTAAAGAATTCAGTGAAAGGGCATTTGAAGCATTCCGGACAAGAGATAATAGTTGCTTGAAACTAGGCCAGGCGCGGTGGCTCACGCGTGTAATCCTAGCACTCTGGGAGGCCGAGGCGGGTGGATTGTTTGAGCTCAGGAGTTCGAAACCAGCCTGAGCAAGAGCGAGACCCCCGTCTCTACTAAAATAGAAAGAAATTAATTGGACAACTAAAAATATAAAGAAAAAACTAGCCGGGCATGGTGGCGCATGCCTGTAGTCCCAGCTACTCGGGAGGCTGAGGCAGGAAGATCGCTTGAGCCCAGGAGTTTGAGGTTGCTGTGAGCTAGGCTGATGCCATGGCACTCTAGCCAGGGCAACACAGTGAGACTCTGTCTCAAAAAAAAAAAAATAGTTGCTTGAAACTAGAGAATAGCGATAGTAATGATACATAGTTGAGATAACAGTTCCTACATTTCTGACCTTTGCAACTGCATGGAAGATGGTGCCAATCCCTGAGCTAGGAAATGCATAATGAGGACCAGATTTACCTGCATTTTAATTTGATTACGTTGAGTTTAAGATGTCTTTGAGATATCCAAATAGAAATGTCAGATAAGCTCTTGGATATAAAGGTCCGAAGCTCAGAGAGCCCTGGGTTAGGAACATTAATTTGATATTCCATTGCCTTATAGTTGATTATTGAAGTCACAGGCATAGATGATATACCCTGGAGAGCACTAGAGTCAGAAGAGAAGGAATCATTGAATATATCCTGGAAAAACTCAAATATTTAAAGGTCAGTTAGAGTCAACAAAAGAGACTCAGATGTCAGAGAAATGAGGGGAAAACCTGGAGAAAACCAAGAAATCGAGGAAAGAAGTGCTTCAAGAAAGAGTGGTCATTAGTGATGAATGCTTCTGGAAAATCAAGTTCATTGAGAGTTGAGCATTTCAAGCACGCAGCTTGTGAGAGTCGTGAAAGTGGAATTATGGGTGTATAAACCAGGCTGCAGAGGATATGTGTGACGAAATAGATTCAGTGTAGACAACTCTTTGTTAGGCAAGGAAAAAGACAGGATTATAGCTGGAGGGGGAGGTGGAGTCAAAGTAATTTTTTAAATGGAATAGACTTTTAAATATGTCTTAGTACTAATGGAAATGATGCACTAAAAAGAGAGAAATCTAACAGATAGAAAAGAGAAGGGATAACCAAGAGAAGTCTTATCACAACTTTGGCTAAGTTATTTAATGTCTCTGCTTTATTTTCACAGCTATAAAATAGGGAAAATAATGCCCACCTTCATAAGGTTACTCTAATAACTAAATAATCTGATGTTGTTAGAATCCTCAGTAACATCTCTGGCACACACAATGTGTTTTAAAAATTGGTGCTTAAAATGTATCTAGCAGCTAATATAGTGTCTTATACATATGAATGGCTAATATAGTGTCTTATACATATGAGATACTCAATAAATATTTGTTAAATGTTGAATAAATATGATTCTGGTTCATGATTTTTGATTATTGGGAATATAAAGGAGTCTGATGTATATTACCATATAATGGGTTACAGATACACCTTGGGTATTCATGATGATGATGATGATGATGATAATGGTGATGTATGATGTTTGCTATCTGATAATGTTGATATTTTGGCCATTTGTGTTCACAGGGCACTATTTTTCTGCCTGGAAATAAAGTCCTTGAACATCCTTGCAATGAAGAAAACCCAGGGAAGTTCCTTTTTGAGGTAGTTCCAGGTAAGATATTTTTTCTGATTTTTATTAAATTATTGTCATTCTATGTTGATAAAGGTGAAAACAGGTTAGACATGTTTTATTCTTCTTGAGTCATGGCTGAGAACGTTAATTTGAGAAGGCAAGTATCAAATTTGGTTATTTACACAAACGATGAGCCCAGGTTTGTACACTGGTGTAAACGAATGCACGCACACTGACAAACTCGTGGTCACACGTCTGTTGGATTTCCGTTTGTCCACGACACTCCGGAGTTGACCAAAAGTCATGACACAGCATTTGTAAGAGACTGTTGGAGACAAAGTTGATTTTACAGTGCTCTTGTTATATAAAATTCGACAAGGTATTATTGGTAGAATGCTTTGCCCAGCTAACTTGCTGACGTATTTTCTCACAAAACTGCATCTTGAAGGAGCCCTTGTTATAAAACAAAACAAAACAAAAACCCTCTTTCAATGACTTACCTGGTATTACAGTTTTGTCCCTCAAGTTTACTCCCAAACAACCACCCCCACATGTTAGGCTTGTAAAGTTGAGTATTGCTCTGCCACGTCTCAGATCCTGCAGTGGAGCTTACGAACATCTGTTCATTTTTCCTCGTCATCTGCACCCATTCTTCTTAGTGTCCCTGGTCTCCACTTAAATCGTTGACTAACATAGCAACAGTTTCTTCAAGGCAGTGATCTACTCCTTTGATCAGTTCTTCAGCATTTCCTTATCCCTCAATGTAAGAGCAAGGAAGGTAAGAATGTCATTTTTATAGAATTGGCTCTGGCTGACCCAGTTTATGTAATATTGACATTGATTTAATCACTGTCTAGGGTGGGTGTGAATTTATTTGGGTGAGTGAGTGAGTAATATGTAACTGTTATCAATAATGCTGGCACAAAGGCAGGGAATAAAATATTTTTCCCAGAATTATAAATGCTGGGAATCTACAATGTGAACACGTATTTTTTCCCTTCAATGAAAACAGCTGTAGCGCTGAGTTCATCTGGCTCACAGTGGAATCCATGACTAAATGTTAATTAATGCAGCTGAAGTGTGGAAAGGTTAGTCAGATGCATTGTGTTATTTGTTTCCCCCCAGGGAGAACATATTGAAAGAAACCTGAATCCTGTTTGCTCTATTAAAGTCCTTTTATTCTTACTTCTTAGTGGAATACCCTGTATAGAACCAGATTCCAGATGTTGCAAAGTCTTTGAAGTATCAGTAGAGGAAATTTCTTTTCCTATTTATTCTCAAACATTAGTGCATGTTGGATTTTAAATCAGCATGATATTAAACTGATGAGTATAACTTTTTGTCTCCAATACCACTGGAGGTCTACTTTTCCATTCAGTCTGCTAGCTACGAAGAGAGTTCATCTTTTAGTGAAGAAGTTCTGATGTAATATAGATGGATATTCTCAATGCTGTCTTAGAGAGAGCTGTGTCTTCAAGACCAGGAAGTCATGGATAAAACCTCTTCTCCAACGTTGCTGTTCCAAGCCCTATGTTTCATATGCAGTGCATATGACATAACGGGTTTTGATGAGTAAAGCTTACAAAGTTTAATACTGTGTAAGATGGAATTTGAAAGTTGTCCTTTCAAAAAAATTTTTTTGAAGGAAATTCGAACTTGCTTGTAATTCGAACTTGTAATTTTGGAGTTGAACGTATTATGCCTATAATTTATTTGAAAAATTCTTCCGAATTATTTATACAATATGTTGTAACTTCTAAATTAGGTTTTATAATTCTGAATCTTCTTATGACGTATTAAGAGAATTAGGCTAAATGCTTCTTTGAAGAGAGAGCTGGAAATACACACGACTAGATTGACAATCCAGCATTTATGTCAGTAAATGCCCGGACATCAGCATTGCATTTCCAGACAAATGCTTATGTGGGGGTCTGTATAACATGATTTTCATCGATTGTTTTCAAAATCAGAATTGTTTAGGGATATCATGACACTTGGTTTATCTTTGCAAATGGAAATGACACAATGATATTTTCCAATTGTTCCAATTGTGCAGTAGTTTTACATGGGAATCTGGGAAGTTACAAAAGCTTCTTTTTATTTGTCAGAACTCATAGGAGGCAGGAAGGAGTGCAGAAATGTGGTTGATGCCTTGTACAGAACTCTGCAGGCCAACCTGGCAGCACATCCTCATAACACATACTTATTCTACATTGACTTTTTCTGCACGATTCTCTTAATTGCCACTTCTGAAAACCTACCGTAAAAATGATGCTTACAGAACCAACATATCTCTGTCTTTATGGGCAAATACCTCAACCCTAACTACCCAAGATGTATCAATGAATAGGAGAGCATTAAATCCTCTAATTTCATCTGCCCATAATGATTTCCAACAAAACAGACCAAAGCTTCCACAAGCTCATTGCCATTTTTCTAGCGCTATATGCATACATACACATTTGTGTGTATGTGTATAAGTATACAGCTTATCCATAATGGGCTGTCTTTATATTAATAATTTGTTCATATATATCCATATATAGGTAGGAATTTTTTTAATTTTTGCTTTTGCTTTAATCTGAATTATTCTATAAAACAAAGGACTAATCATGTGCAAATAAAAAAAACAAGAATTTTCAACAAAATTGAGAATCTCAGGTCTTTGTATATTACTTATTTACATTTTTAATATATTTCTACACAGATTTTAGGCTTTTGTAAAAACCTATCTGAAAAAAAATACCATATTTTGGGTTAATTTCTTATAGATTCATTATCCCATGAATTGAATAATCTCTCCAACTAATGCTATGATTTATAGCATTTCACTCCAATTTTTTTTTCCTGTTTCCCTACTAGTTATTCAAAAAGACATCAGCCAAATTGGCAAATTTGAAGGCTTCTCTGTCACACATGCCAAATTTTAGACTGGAGTAAACTTTTATGGCCAAGTGCTAAGCTTTTGGGAAATGTAGTTGAGAAAAGAATGTTGGCAGCTCTTTAATATACAGTCCTTGAAGAAAGAAAATGCGGTTAGTCTCTTTGCTTCTCGAAATGTGTTCTGGTTGAGTTTTCCATGTGATGTTTAAAAAAAATGAACAGAGTAATTAATGTAATAATGATGCTTTAACTTTCTTAGGAAAATAGTCTCTAACAGAGAGGAAAAATAATACACAGACAGGCAAGAAGAGACGGAGGATTATTTGTAACTCCAAATAATTAGGAACCACATCTTTCTTGCTCAGTATGTATCCTTAACATCTCGTACAGTATAACACACAGTGCTAAACAAATATTTATTGAAATGCATGTATTTTTGCATGCAGGTTTATGGAAGAATCTCAGTCATATGAAACTATCCTCCACCTTGCTATGCTGAACTCCTATTTCCTGGTATGTAGGACTTTTCCTTCTCTTGGTCCAGCAAAGACCTCTTTTTGGCTCTAGTGGCTAATGTGGAGGGAAACTCCTCACATCCTTCCCTTTTCTACTTCTCTGCATTCCTCTCTGATGATGAGACCAAGAGAAGGATGGAAAAAGATAGGAATCTTCCTACATGGGTGCTGTTGCTGGGATATAGCTCTTTAACAACCACTGGTCATTTATACATACATTCCTCTCCAAAGGCTGACGCTTTCATGGGGTGCATTTGTAGATTTTTCAGTGTCCCTGAAATTGGAAATCTGCTTCACATGGTAGGATTCTCCCAGCTTGTGGATGGTCCTGTTGGAAGGGATGCAGCAAAAAGGCTCAGAGGCAGCTGCTTTCTTTGTGCTTATTCAGTAATCAGGAAACGTACCCTGGTCCACCATGTCAGGGAAATGCAGGCTGTTTCACTTCGTCTTGCCCTTTTCTCCGTGGGTCATCAGCTCAGCACCCAGCAAGGCCAGTGGCTTGCCGGGCTTCAGAGGCTATCACAGGCCCCCAGCTTAGAGAAAGGGTAGGCAACTGTTCTGGCACATATCAAATTTTACGAGCAACGCTTTTGTACTTCCCCGACTCGTTATGATGGCTGGGAGAAATCCTAGTCCTCCCCCTCAAAAAACAGTGTTTATCTTGAAAATTGCTATCTCCAAGAGACACTTCCTCTTTTCTAGTCTTTTCCTTATAACAGTCAGGGGCAGTTTTGGTTTCTTCTCTGAAACCAAATGCTTTCTCTAAGTAAGCCCTGAAGATAAGTGGTGAGGTATAACTTTCATTGGTCTTTTCAACTTAGAATGTGGGTTCTTAGCCCTTCTTTGAGTGGTTGGGGCCTTAGCAGCGATTCCAGGATAATGAAGAGGAAACTTTTTATTTCTGTCTATCTGTGATTTTAGATGGGATTCCCAGGAAACATACCCTGATGGAGAGTTATGTTAGAATGCTTATGAGGGAATGCTCTCTGGAGGTATTTCAACTGTGAGGCAGTGGGGAAGGTAAAATGGGGTCAGGGAAGCTGCCCCACAAGGAATGCCAGGGTGACGAGGTCTCAGCTGATCCAGTGGGGAGCACTGAGGCTGGGATGTCCCTCGAGGTTGCTTCAAACCGCGGGGCTGGGCCTTCATTTCCCCGTGTCAGCTAGTCACTGGTCGGGAGTGGGGGAGACAGATAAACTCAGGTGAAGCAGTTCCCTGCCACAGTGGGGAACAATTCCCATGAGGGGCTCTGGGCACCTCAGCAACCAATATACCAGTCTCTGGGATCTAGACAGAGTACCGTAGATAGACTCCATTATAGAATCCTTGGCTGCATCAGTTTCTAGATTTCTCTCTTCCAGGCAATGTTCCAGGTTCTTTGCGTGTATTGCTTTATTTAATTCTCGCTACAACTCTATGAGGCAGGTGGTATCATTATCTCCATTCCGTCCATTCTACAGGTGAGGAAACTGAGGCAAAGAGAATTAATTTGATCAAGGTTAAAAGGCTAACACTAAGTAATGAAAGTATATTCAAGTATGTGTGTGCAGGGTGTGTTCGTGATGTGTGTGTGTGTGTATAAAATAATATATCACTGATTTACAAGTAATGTTCTAAGAGGTCAAAATAAAATATATATGA